TCCTGTTATAGGATGTCATAGCACCACTTGCGGCACCAGTGGCACCAGCCGGTCGACATATACTGATTCTAAAGGTAATAGATTACAAATAGTAACCTAAAATACAAAGAAATAAAAATGTTGATTTACAAAATGTTTACAGGGTTCCTTAGCAACAGATAGCGCGGTGCTCAAACTCAGCGGTAAGGATGCCACAAAGAGCTTCTGTGGTCCGGTGAGTTACTCAGTAAAGGCTGATTACACTGGCACATTTTTCAGTGCATATGACCATATTAAGAAATTATTGCGTCAATCGTACCATAGTTACAGTAGTAACTATGATCGTACTGCACGTATCACTAGTGTAAAGCAGTCAGTAACAGTAGTAACTATGATCGTACTGCACGTATCACCAGTGTAAAGCAGTCAGTAACAGCAGTAACTATGATCGTACTGCATGTATCACCAGTGTAAAGCAGTCAGTTTAGTCTCAAGTTTGTTCTTTTTTGGTCCTCTGAAAATAGTTCAAGGCATGTCATATTTTGTATCTCAGGCCATGGTGTTTGATGGTGAACAAGAAGCGTACAAAGCAGTCATGAATGGAAAGGTATTCTAACGTTTTCATGTTTTGTCGGCTGCTTTTTATTATCTCTTCGGTTGTAGTTTATTTTTATTAATTATTTTATTGATTTTATTGATTAAGTGGTTGTTTGTGAGTAAGATGTTTTGATGGTTAGTGTAATGGTTGGTTGTTACTGAGCTGGGTTAAGTTTCATTAGTTTTTCGTAAAAGGTGCATGGGAATCAGTCTTCATCAACAGCTCAGACTTTCAGTGTTTATTCTTTTTTTGTTTGTTGTAAAGCTAAAGGCAGGTGACGTTCTAGTGATACGTTATGAAGGACCGAGTGGAAGGTAATGACAAGCACTCAATTTCCTGCATCGTTCTATGAGATYTCTTTTCCTTTTTCTCATCTCTTTCACTTCATTTATTCATTTGTTTCCGTTTTTGACATAGAAGTATCTCTCGTTTTATTGTGGAATGTTTATTGTAGAGATCATAGCAAAAGCTTAGTCAGTGTTACGGTAGTTGGTAGTATTTAGACAACTGTTACATGCAAGTATTCTTACTGTATTCCACAGTCCAGGAATGCCAGAAATGTTATCACCAGGCGCAGTGCTTGTTGGCGCAGGACTAGGAACTAGCGTCGCTTTGGTGACCGATGGACGATTCAGTGGTGCTTCTCATGGAATAATGATTGGTCACGTGTCACCAGAGGCCCAGAAAGGTGGACCAATCGCATTGGTTGAGGATGGAGACATGATTACGATAGATCCAGCTAAAGGAGCCTTGAATTTGGTAAGTTRGCTTTTCAGTTCTGTAATTGATAAGARTAGCATGCGTCAGGAATTTTCTTCGATCAATAGTCGTCTGCGGTTATGTTGACAAAATACCTGATATGACTCACATGATAGTGGTGAATAAATGATGATAGTGATGATAATGGTGATTACAATTGCCGTGTAATAAAAATAGTGGCTCAGTTTCACAACTATGCTACTGCAGGCTTGTTTAGAWTTTTTCTGGATTCAATGTTTCCTGATTTCCGTACACGTTTTTCCAGAACAATGCAAATCCTCCCCAAAACGGAAACTAATTATTTGCGTTATTTCTTTATAGTAAAAAAATATCCTTGATTCTTTTTTAGGAGGTGAGTTCAGAGGTTTTGGAGGCTCGCAAGGCACGATGGACTGCTCCCGATAGGAAGTTACCCGGGCTATTGCAGAAGTACTCAAATATCGTATCCAGCGCACATASAGGAGCTGTTACSTATTAGSGCCTGGTGCTCAAATAGTCAAAATTACTAAAGTCTGAATAGARTCCACTAAACTATGGGTTGTCATAAATCCAGCGTTCTGATAGGCTACTGAGCTATGGTCTATTTATGATAGACCATGTCGCATTGAATGAAGCCAAAATCAACTCGTAGTACTCCACCGTGAATGTACGGGTTACATTCATCTTTAAATGGAATAAACAGACAGAATAATTACACACCATAGGTACATCATTGTACGATAAATATTTGTTAACATATAAATAAATCCTTCAAATGTGGTTTTCAAAAATAAATGATTTCAAGCCTAAATCCTTTTTGTTGATGAGCATTTATCTCACTTTCATGCCTCATTTCTTTGTGCAACTGCTTGTTTGA